CATCAGAGATGGGCTCAGTTGTCTGTAGGCCAGTCTTTCACTGAAGGCTTATGTGGTGGGGGTTGATGTGTGTGTATGTGTTCATGTGTGCATCTTCCATGAGATCTGAAATTGTCTAATATTTTTCTTTTTTTTCATCCATTCTAAGTGTGGTTAGAAGGACTTAACATAAATTCACCATCTTTATTATTTTTAAGTGTTAAATACATTTACATTATTGTGAAACGTATCTCAAGAACTTTTTCATCTTACAAATCTGAATCTCTGTACTCATAAAACAACAACTAGTATGTTACTTTTAAACATCATCTAAGGTCTAATTTTGCTAGAATGAAGACAGCTCTGCTGTCAATTTCAGGAAAGCATGATTCAACCTCCTGTTGCTCATACATTGAGAACCTTCTTGGCTCAGTAAACCACATTCTGCCTTTCACCTGTGGGGTGAACCACGCAGGTCTTAGATTTGGTCATTATTAGGAAAATATATCAGGAATTTTAATCCAAATAAGCACTACTACTCAGCTTCCTCACCTCTCCTCCTCAGCCAAATTGGGCTAACTTCCTCATTGTTTGTGAATTCCTTATGAGTGCCAGAGACTCCACTGAGAGAAGAGTCAAAGACATGGCCCCAGGGGCCTAGAAATTATTATTCTAGTTTACAAGCTATGTTCCAACATGTCTCACAATTATCATTTCCCACGATTCCCATTGTCTTTCCTGATCTGATCCTCCCCAGATTAGCCTAGGGTGATCCTTCTCTGCAGCATAACAGGATTGCTTTATTTCCTGGTGTTCCCTTATCAAAGCATTTCTCACACTGTATTGCAATTGCTTGTCTATCTTTTCTGCCACACCTCGAGTTCTGTGAGACCAAGATGTGTATCAATCTTGCTGTGGAATGGAGCATTATTAAGTCAATGTTATATAATCTTTGCCAGCTGTGAGAAGGTCCCCCTGCATTGCTATTGCACTTCTCTGGTCCACGGCAGAGCAGCTTGCAGAGGATCACTGAACTTCTGTGAACTGAGATGTGCTGGCATGAGTGCCATGAGAACAGGAGCCAGGTTAAGCTTTGCTGCCCTTGAAGACCCAACACTGAGCACAGTTGCTGGCTCTTGGTAGACATTTAAAAAAACATTTTGAAAATGAATGAATCAACTAGAGCAATGAAGAAATAAAGTTTCATAGAGGAAGGATTCTTTTCTCTCTTTTTCTGCTGCAGCATGCTTTGATAGAGGCATAGTATTTATGCCAAAGGAGAAGGTAATCATTATGATACAGGGAAAATACTGGGCTAGATAGGTACAATTAGAAGGGGCTCTTAATGGAACATAGGGCAGGAGGGGTGTGATGTGAGGGTAGGCTTGTCAGGAAAGGCCAAGGGGAGTAGTTTATGATGCAAAGGCTCAAAAGCAAGAGAGTACTGCATGTTTGTGGAACTGCAGGAAGTTGAATGCTGCTTAGGGTTTGGGACAAGGTGGGAAGAGATGAGGCCCAACAGAAGGAGGGGCAGATCTCAGTGGTCTTGAGGTCAGCCAGAGAGGACTAACCTCATCCCAAGTCTAAGGAGAGTGACTGCAGGTGTAAGCATAATATGGCAGATTTATGTTAGAAAGTCACCTCAGCTGGAGGATGGAGTAGAAGGCATCATGGGATAAAACCCAGGCAGGAGAGATGAGGACGGTTTCATCAATGTGGTATCATGTTGGGGCAGGAGGCAAGAAGTGTTTAGAACCAACCAAACCGCAGAAGTACACACCCAACTCATTTTATTCCACAGCAGCCATGACTTTTCCTCTTTAGGCCTTTGTTGAAGGCTATTAACAAAGGATTGATTGGGTGTGAGTGTAGAGACCTAAGAGGATCTGTTTGAAACTTCCTCCTTTGTGGGAAGAATCATCAGAAAAGAAAAGGGACTCTAGGTGACCCAACAGATAGCAGTGACTTTATGATGGTCATTAGGTGTATCACACATGAAGATGCTGCTAAGAACAAGGTCCCCTGGAATGAGCAGCCAGGAGATATTTTAATTAGATCAAGGTGTCCGCCTGCATAGTTTGTTCCAGATATTGGGGGTTAAGATATTTGTAATTTGCAAAAGTAAGTTAAAATTTTTAATATAATTTTATCCTTGGGAGGCAATTACACAAAAAGAATCTCTTTGTCTTGTACTGTAAACTAGAAGATAAACTAGGCAAACTCATTAGTGGGATGGGCACATGTTCTGTGTGTATGTGTTCAGCCACTGATGGGGACTGGAGAAACTCAAATCTGCCATAGAAGGTGGCAGGTAGGGACAGAGATTCTTATGCTTATTATAAAGAGGCAGGAATCAAGAAATTTTTGAGAAATAGTGAATTAAAGTCCCACAGATACTTCAGTCATATGGGCCAACAATTATAGTGTTATAATGTATCTGTTAGTTGAAGTACAATATAATCGTGTATTTGACCTCTATTATTTGGGACTTTGTGGCAGCTTCTATGATCCAGATATTAAGGAGACACTGCCTTTCCCTCATGAGTATACATCTAGTGGAAAAGACACACATAGGAATCATTATTGTCTTAACATGATAAGTACCACAATAGACTCACAGTTAAAGAGCATAGAGAAGACAGCAATTGACTCCTAGTTATTGAATTGTTTTATACAGTTCTGTAGGATTGATACTGTAAAACCTATAAGCCTTCAAGCATTGCAGGAGAGGCATCACTTCCATGAGAGGAATCTGACTGAGGCCTACAAGGATGAGATGACTCGACCGAGATACTACTACCAGATACCCAGGGTCATCACCCCAAATCAAAGAGGCACTAACTTTAGCCTTTTCTGTGACAACACAGTAAATGTGTCTTTTTTCTTAAATTGATATACAAATTTAGGTTTCATTTCAGGGACTAAATCTAATCAACATTTCCAGGCCCTGGAATTTGTAACAAATTTGTTAAATTTCAAAGAATGTTCTCAACCTCCAGATTAGACTTAAAGGAAAGGCCATACTTGGGAATCAGAGACCTACTCTAAATTTATTCAGGACTCAACATTTATCTCACCAGGCAAGTGTCAACACACTCTGGTCCTCAGCTTCCCAAGCAGTAAGATTAGATAATAAGATGTCAGTAGAGGAAGCTTGCACTATCTCTGGCTCTATCTTTATCATCAGCACCCTAGTCCAAGTTACCATCTCTCATCTGGATTATTGCAATTGTTTTTTCATTCATTCTTGATCACTCTAATCTACTAGTCTTAGAAAGCAAATGTGATTGAATAACCATCATTGAAAAGATCAAAACCCTCCACATGATTTATAATATTCTTTCCAAACTACACATCATGAACCATGAGTGGATCATAGAAATAATTTCATGAGTCATCACCAGCACTTAAAATTTATATATATATATATATATATATATATATATATATACAAAGTAGAGGAGAGATATAAGAATGCAGTGGCAATGATGAGTGTTTTACTCAGCTTTTCCCCACAGTGACCAAAGTACCTGAGAAGAACAATTCAGAGGAGAAAAAGATTATTTTGGTTCATGGTTTCCAAGGTTCAGTCCATGGTCCTTGAACTCCATTGCTCTGGGCCTGAGTGAGGCAGAACATTTTGGTGGAAGGGCATGGCAGAAGAGAGCTGCTCTGCTCAGGCAGGGGAAAAGGGAAGGGGGAGAGGGGGAGGGAGTGAGGGAGGAGGGGAGGGAGGGAGATAAAGAGAGAGAAAGGGTCCAGGACAGATATGGCCATGTCCCATTTGTCTATAATTACTACCCAGTAGACCATTCAGCTGTCAATCAATTAATCTAGCAAATGTATTAATCTGCTGATGAAGTCAGAGCCCTAATCATTGCCTAAAAGCCCCACTTCTGAAACAGTGTTGGAGACCCTGCTTCCAACACTTTCCCCAAGCTTTTCAGGGAGTGTTTCAGATCCAAACCATAACAATAAGCATAAGAACTATTTAATAAAACGTGAGGGCCCAAGCCTACTGAGTGATATGATCTCTGTCTCCTAGCTCCATTTCCTCTAATCTCTGCCCAGTTCTTTGCTCTATCCACAACAATCTTCCTTAAGTTCCTCCAACAAATCATGCTTCCTTCTTCAGGAAGACCCCTTATGTGCTGTTTTCCTCTTCTCTAGTACACAGCAACCTTCAGGTCTCAACTCAGGTGCCACTTTTTCAGGCAAACTTTCCCAGACTATATCTTGAACCCTTATAAGGGTCAGATTCCCACAGTTCCTGTTCGTTTTCAAATTATTATTATTTATTTAATAGCGCGCTTCTTTGGTTGGTTAGCGACAATCTTTTCCATTAGGCTGGGGTCTACACGGCTGCAGGGACCCTGCTCTTGTTTAGCATTGTAGTAACCCAGTGCCTAACTCCCCAGGGCACCTAGGTATTCAGAGGAGTAATGACTAACCTGTCAGTCAAGGATGCTGGCTGCTCTTTCTTAGCGTTGGTTTGGTTTCTCGCGCTTGCACTAAGTAAACCACTGCTGGGCTGTACTGTCAGCCTAGGTTAGCAACTAACTTCCTTTAACAGGATTCCTTAACTTGGGTGTTAGTGAGGAAGGGGAGACCGATCTTCATCTGGTTTCAGGAGGAATCTGCTCACCCGATCCAGAGAGCCAGAGCTCCAAGAGCATCTCACGCCGCCCTTCTGCATCCCTGGGGGCCCGTGGGCCGCGTTTAATCAGAGGCTTCTTCTAAGCATCACGCCTAGGTGACCAGCCCGTTCCAGCCCCTCGGACTAGGCCAGCCCGTTCAGACCTTCCACTCTTCGCCGTGCGCATACCCCTGGTATGCTGGACCCAGGCAGTGGCGGCAGGTGACCAGCCTCTCTAGGTTGGGGTGCTTCCACGGAGCCTCTGCAGCCATCTTCTGGGACGCAAAGGAGGAGGCAGAAAAGGGGCGGGGCCTTTGTACCGCCCGCCCCCACCGCTGGAGCCGCCCTGTCCGTCTCTGCTGTGCGCAGCGCCGGGGTTTGGACTTCCCCTCCCAGCTCTGCTCGGCTGCGTCGCGCGCTCCCAGCCCAGCCCGCAGAGCCCGCTCCGCGGCCGCCCCGCCGCGCTCTCAGAGGCCGCCATGGGCACCGCGCGCTGGTTCGCGCTGGGCAGCCTCCTGGCCCTGGCGGGGCTGCTGGAAGGCCGGCTTGTGGGCGAGGAAGAAGCTGGTTTTGGCGAATGCGACAAATTTTTCTTTGCCGAGACCCCTCCTGCCGGGCTGGCTGCCGATTCCCACGTGAAGATCTGTCAGCGCTTCCAGGGCTCCGAGCGTTTTGCCACCCTATACAACACCCGCGATCGCATCCCAGTGTTCTCAGCATTCCGTTCCGCGCGTCCCGCGCCTGGCAGCGCGGAGCAGCGCTGGCTGGTGGAGCCGCAGGTAAGCGAGGTGGTTCCTGAGCCGGGCGGGGCGCCTGGGCCAGCCTCCAAGGGGGGCCTTTGTCGTACTGCCAGGGGCAGTGCCAGGAAAGGCAGTCCTTCACGCCTTTGATATTTTGGACCCCGGTTTCGGATCCACCCCATTGCGCTCGCGTAGTTACAGCTAGCCTCACCCATGACGAAGCTACAATAAAAGCTGACGATCTTCGAGCCTTCATTAGAGCCGCAGGGGAGGGAGGTCCCCTGGGGAGGTGGTTCTCCTTACATGTCGGCTACAGACATCTGCAGTGTCTCCTTCGTTTCCTGAGTAGCGTGGAGTGTGAGACCAAGACCTAGGAGACCGTGCAGATCCGCGGGAAGCTTAGGAGGGCCACTCACAGGCCTGAGTTCATGTCATTGCTTCAGAATTCATTTGGGGTTGGGTGAGCATTTTCATACCCATTTTACAGAAGAGAAGATAGATGCTCAGGCCGGTGAAGAGTTTCTGATAACCTACCAGCTGGTAAGATCTGGCAGGTCTTGTGGTTAGACTGTCACTACCTTTTCTTCTAAGGAAAGCTTCTCCAAAGCCCATCCTACTGTAGAAATGCTTCCCTCTACACGCAACAGTGAGTACATTCGATCTGAAGTTGTATTGAATTAGAACAATAAAATAAAGGCATGAGTTTTTAGAAATGCCATGGAATAGTTACAAATGGTAGCGAAACATTGATTATCTCTAATGCTGGGAAGGAGAAACCAGTTTTTCCTGACTCTTTACATCTATATTATCAGACCACTTGGGAATCATGTAACCTTTCATGTGGTTCTGTCTGGTGATAGTGACCAAACATGCCAAGAGGCCCTTAGAGGCCCTCAGTACCTGCTGGCCTGTGCCTAACACATCCTGGTTCACCTCTGTCGGTTGGCTTCCTCTCCAGAACATTCAGTCCTGTTGGGCTTTGACCTCTCACCCCATCAGAGCTTCCAGGGGGAGAGTTGTCACATAGCCCTCAGTTCCTGATGGCCATAGCTGCCTAGTACCAGCTGAACAGCCAACTGGCTTTCAGATTCCTCATTCAGAGCCTTCGGGTTGAAATCTCATTCAGACGTTTCTAGCGCTGAGATATTGGCCAGGTCTCAAGCAATCTGCAATCTGGTTTCCTTACCTTCTCCATGTCCTTTCACCAATTTTATCTGAGGACCTATGAAATCAGGTATGTGAAAAAGACTGTGTACATTCTTAAGACATTTTAGTTTAAAATTAGTGTCCCCCACATATGCACTTAGAGCTCGAATACTATGTGACCTCCAGCTCCTTATTATGTACCGTGATTGTGGGCCTAGAAAGAAAATAGATGGCCTGATCCTTTCTTCTTGAGGATCTCTTGCAGATGCAATGTACACAGTAAGAAGTCATGGGAATGCATGCTGAACAAATATCAGTTAAATTCAAAATCATTTAGTAGGCACTTGCTGTATGCCAGACATTTAGTATACCAGAGAAACTCTAGATATATTCAATGTATGACTCCAGAACTCAAGGGCTTCCTAGTTTGTAGGTGGGTTTTTCTGCACAGAGAGGTGATGTAGCATCTGATTAGACACACAGTGTGGGATCAAATCCTCTTTCCTCCCTTGAGTGGCTATAAACTGGGGCAAGTTAACTTGGAGATAATAACACTAGTTATTAGCAGTAGTTATGAGGATTAAATGATAAAGTTCTCAGGGAGGTGTCTAATACATAAGCATTAGATGTTACTGTGACATAAGCAAAAAGCCATAATTTAATAAAGGTAAACAAAGTCCTACTAGATTTAATCTGTCTTTAAAGTGATAGGGTGCAAAGCCTTGGAGTCAGGATGACATTTGTGCTATTCCTGGAAGGATAAGGTAAAGTTCAGAAGGGAGATGAGGAGGAATGCATTTTAAAACTGAGGAAACATGAGCAACATAGGCAGATTCAGGGCTTATTGGGAGTGGTTGGAACAGGTAAACCATAGAAGTGAGTAGGTTATTACACTGCACTCAGGTGCTCAGAATACAGGGAAATCATGGAAGGGAGGGGCCAGGTGGGAAGGAATTATCAAGGAAGGCTTAGGGAGGCAGAGCAGTTTATAAAGTATTTGAAGGAGTCATAAGGGACATGATATGGTAGAGAAGAAGTGGAGAGGACTGTCACAGAGGTAGTAGAGACCTTGGGTGTGGAAATGAGGATTGGGATTGGAAAGATGAAAGAGGATGCTGAAGGAGGGGAAATAGTTCCAGATGGCAGTTGAGAGATGAGATGTACAGTGGTTCTGAAAAGTACTGGAGACCAGAGTACCCACCCTGCTGGGGAGATCAGAATGGCCTGGGAGCTGAGAACTGCAGGATGCTTTTTCCTGCAAGATAAATAGGCTCCCTGTGCCATCCTCCACCCTGAGGTCATTCGGGCAGAGAGGGAGGAAAGAAGAGAGGGAGGGATGGCGATAAGGAGGTTCAGGAGGACTACAGAGCGCATTGCAGCAAACCTGAGACCTGCCTGTCAGCCAAGGTCCCCACTGCAGAGAGCAGCTCAGGGCTCAGTATGTACTTCTAGCTGCTTCCAAGCAATTTATAGTGCCAAGTTGCCTTGTTCCCAAATCATCTTCTTCTGAGGTCAGCATTACGAAGAGGCCCAGCAGACAGGGGAGGAAGAGGCAGGCAAGCAAAGGAGCCCAGTGCTGATGAGCCAGGCAGGGCTGCACCAACACTGGGATCCTCAGCAGCTTTCAAGCCCGGCCTACAGTTCTCCTTTGAAAAAAAAGCTTCTAAATCAAAGATCACAGAAAATTATTACTCGTGCTCAAAACCTTTAAGGTATTGGCTGCCTGACATCATCAGGACAAAGTTCAAACTGCAGAACGCCTTTACAAGGCCCTGCATAGCCTGGCTTCTGACTCTGGCTCCAGCCCTGTTTCTTACCACACCTCACCTTCACATTTATAGCAAGATGCCTGGAGCTCCTCTCCTAAGCCATGCTGTTGCCAGTCTGTTTCTTTGCTGCTGCTGATTCCCTTTGCCCTGAATGCTCTTTGTATACTTCCTCCATCCTGCCTTTACTTCCTCTCCCTGCTCCAATCTTTATGACTCTGCTATTGGGTCTCCTCATCCAGAAAGATTTCCTCACCTGTTGTGGATCCATCTCCTGAGTCAGGCCCAACTCTTCACTTCTCTTATAATTTCTCCAATTTTGAACTTATAGCATTTTATAATTAATTACCTGCTTATCTATCTGTCCTGGCAGCTGGAGCCGCGAAGGCTAAGAACTGCATTTTATTGCTTATTGTATTCCTAGTGCCTAGCACATAGAAAGCACTTAATAAGTGTTAAATAAAAGAATTTGTTTAGAATAAAGTAGTTAGGATAATCTATCAGGCAGCAGTGGTAAGATGTTCTGCTTGTCTTTTCTCAGCAAGGAGCTTCCTGTTTCAGAAGCTTGTCCCTGTGACTGGCCAGCCACCCCTGTTACAGACATGTTCCATATGCAGAGCTGGAACAATCCTCAAAGGCCACCCCATCAGTCCTTGCTCTGATCTTTGGAGTGATCCCAAATGATTTGGATCTCTTCTCTGCATACCAGTCCTTTGGCATTGGATACAGGATCCCATGTCTGCTCACGCTGTAGGAGTTTAAAAAGAGACCTGAGGAACAGAAATTTAAAGAGAAACCAAAATAAATAAATAAATAAGTAAAAACCACAGGCGCCTGTTGTGGTTTTATGTGGAATTTCACCTTTAATTTGAAAATATAGATAAGATGTGAAAGAGATAGGAGATGTATTCCCATCTGGCATGATGGAGATGGGCTGAAAGGTTTTCATTCTGGTCTCCAGGAACCTGAGACTTGGGATCTGATTAATGCATGGGACTTTAAACCATTCAGCTCAGCTCCTTTCCATGATGCCTTTCTTAAGTACATTCATGGCCAGAAAACAAAATATAAGGCCTTATCATTTTCTAAATATGAATGCTAGAAGGAATTGGCCTTATATTCAGTAATAACAGTGTGCATTTATTCAGTCTTACCAAAATACTGCAAGGTAGATGTGTGAGGTAGATAGGAAATTGGTGCAGAAAGCTAGTTGTGGTATCTAAGGTCATGCAGCTTGGATTTGAATGCATGGCTAATTGCTCTTAGGCCTCTGCTCTTTTTATACATCATGGGTATTCTCCGATTTCACAATGGATCCACTGCATTGGTGGTGTTAGGACTTTAATTATCATCTTTTAAATGAGAATCCTAATCTCAACTCCATTTCTGTTTCTCAGAAATCAAAGGTCAAATGGGAACACATATTTGAAAGCATAAACATTATTCAAGTTGCAGTGTTTCTAGAGTGAAGAGGATATTTTGATCAACTGAAAAAGCATTTTCCTAGAGAGCATAATAAGGTCATATTTCAAGTCTCAGTAAATGCATATAAAGTTTTCACAAGTTAGAATCTTGATTAAGTCCCTGATCTCTAATTTCCACCAATGGTTTCTTGCTTACACACCCTGAAACACTTAGAAACACTTTTTAATGGATTCTAAACCTCAGATCTCTTCATTACATCAGAGGACAGATACATAGAAGACATCACAACTTAAATTTCTGTGTAAGGAAGCAGTGAATAGGACAATACTGATTCTTACTTCCTATTTAGACACTTGATTCAGACTGCTGCTGTGCCATTACAGGCTATATGTGACCTTAAATTCTTTCATACCTGTTTTTCTAGTTGGTTTATTAAAGATAATAACAATGTTTACCTTATAGAGTGGTTGTGACAACTCAACAAGAATAACACATGTAAGCATAGTAGTTGGAATATAGTGAGGTCTTGATAAATATTAGTCTGAATACTTTTCAAAGATCTTACTCTGACAGATGGTAGGCATATACAGACAGATAAATAGACATGCACACAGAATGTTGGAGTAGATAGGTGACTGCTGCAATTCTACAAAATGCTCCTAAAATGCAAAACATTTATCTGTGTATCATCTCAGATGCTTGACCTATGTCCCTCATTCCTGTAAGTGCTCAGAAAATGCATGGTGAAAGATTTGATTAAGCAAAAGGTTGAATGAACAGATAGGTAGACAGAATTAGGTGATTAACAAACAAACAAACAAACAGGGCTGTGGCAGTGACTCAGCGATAGTGCACTTGCCTGGCATGTGTGAGGCACTGGGTTTGATTCTCAGCACCACACATAGTTGTCTATCAACAACTAAAAAATAAATAAATAAATAAATATAAAAAAAAGAAAAAACAGCAACAACCAGTTACCAGAGATATCTTCACCCCCTTTGTCTCAAGCGATGAAGAGCGTGTTGTCATGAAACAGTGAGTAGTGGCGTTCTGGTCTATTATGCTGAGTCTGGGTAAGACTGGGAAGCACCTGGCTCTAGAGGATGGTTCAAAGTCACTCACTCACCCCTTGTTCTGTGATGCAGAGAACAGTCCCTCCTGCTGCCCTTCGTTGCTTTTTTTCCTCCTTTCTTGGCTTTGTCCTTTTTTTTTTTTTTTTTTGTCCTTTGTTGTCTTTGAATTTGGCGCTCCCATTTGTTTCACAGATCATGCTCAGGAGCAAGTTAAGGTTTTTGCCTCCTATTGGCAGAATGTTTTAGGGACATTTTGTTCGGAAAAAAGATCAGTGTTGATAATTCTCTATTCTTTGGGTTCAAACAAATTTTGACAATCCAGGAAAGGAAATATCATTTATTGATCCTTTACTATATGCGAACGTCTTACACAACCTGACTTATCTACATAATGACTTTAGGTATCATGATCCATGCTCTGTAGTTTAGGAATCTGAAGTTCTTGGAGGTTCAGTCGAGTATCCAAGGTCACCCAGCTGTTGGATGGCAGAGCCCAGACTGGAGCTTTGACCCATTGCAAAGGTTTTAGCTCTTTCTTCTTCATCATGCTTCTTTGCAGTTAAAATGCCTGAATCCAAACTGACGAACTGGATTTGTTCTTTTATTTTTATTTTCCTGAATTAATCCAGTTCTTGGGATGATTTATGACTTCATCCCTATATACTATTCTGAAAATCCCAGCTTCAGATTGCAGTTATCTTAGTTGCCTGTAGATTTTATTCTTTGGGTTTCTAATTTCTCTCTCTCTCTCTCTCTCTCTCTCTCTCTCTCTCGGTGTTGGGGATTGAACCCAGGGCTTTGTGCATGCAAGGCAAGGGCTCTACCAGCTTACTTTAAACTCTAAAAGTAAAAATATGAAAAAAAAAAACACACACACACAAATCTTTCCACTTGCCAGTAGCTCTTATTTTTGGTAGTCTGGTCTTGTTCCTAGAATTTCTGTCCAAGAATACTGTTTTTTTATTTTCCTTCTCCACCATGCATTTCATATCCTTTGAGTGGTTACTTGCCCTTATATTCCACAAAACTTTACATCTATCATAGCAATATTGCATTGCCTGCTGGTATCTCTGTGGCTATAGAAATAAAAGAGAGAAACTGATTCATAGGCTGAACAAGAACAGAAGTACTGTTTAGTATTCCAGTCATGTTTTTGTTGACCCAGTGCCTGAAAGAAGTGTGACTCAATCAAAATAAGTCAAGTCAAGCTGAGAGCATTTTATATTTTTAATCAAAACTGAAAACGTGAGTACCTTTCATTTTGCAGAACAAACAGAAGACTGCATGCAGGTCCTTGTCTTGAGGTTTGATTGACCTTCAGTTAGCAGGGACAATCAGCAGCCTTAACAAAGCCCTGGGTTCTCTGTTGTTTATCTCATTTAGACAACAGATGTTTATTGAGCCTCTGCTGTGTGTCAGGCACTATACTTAGCAATGGGAATAGATCAGTGAACCAGACAAAAAATTACCTATTATCATGAGGTTTAGTAATTCATAGAGGATACAGATGACAAATAAACAAGTAAAAAACATACCTAGCATGTTGAATAGTTTTAAATGCTAAACAGAAAAATAAAGTAAGGAAAGCGGATACAAGCTATCAGGGCAAAGGTGAAGTTTAAAAATGTTTCCTGGGAAGATATCTTTGAGGAGGCAACTTTGTGATACGGATCTGAAAGAAGTGACAAAGCCAATCATGCAGATATCTGGGATAAGAACATTCAGGTAGAAGGAAGACTAAGTAAGGGCAAAGGCCCTGAGGTCTGTGTGATCCTTGTGTTTGAGGAAGAACTAAGAGGTCAATGTGGCTAGAGAATGATAAAAGAGAAGAGTGGCAGGAAATGAGGTCAGAAAGGTGGGAAGAGGGATGGCGGGTCATTCAGGTCCTCCTAGGACAATTTGTAAGAAATTTGATTGCTCCTCTGTGAAACAGGAAGCCATTGTGCAAGGTTCTGAGCATAGGGTTTTGACCTGATCTAACTTAGATTGTAATAGAATCATTTTGGCTATGGTATTAAGAACAGACTTATGGGGTTGAGGACAGAAGTGGAGAGACCAGTTAGGGGATTCAGTAATCTGGCAAGAGACAGTGGTGGCTTGACCAAGGTGTAGCAATCTGTTTGGCAGGATGGTGACTCTGTAGTTCTGGATGTCTTTTGAAAGAACCAAGGATCTTTGAGGGGAGGTAAAGGGAGGTGTCACAGATGACTCAAGGGGTTGGGCTCACATAGCCAAAAGAATGGAATTTCTGTGAATAAGATGAGGCTTTATAAAGGAGGATCATAAAACTCCTTTGATCATAGAAGTAAGAACAAAATAGTGGTTACCAGAGGTTGGAAGGTGAGGAAATGGGGAACTGTCACTCACTGTGACAATGGACAAATAAGTTCTAGGTATCTATAGTACAGCACGTGCCTCTGGTTGACTGTGCTTGTGTTATACACTTCAGAATTTGTCAAGAGGGTAGTTCTCATGTTAAATGTACTGAATGCACACAAAAGAGGAAATGGAGGATAGACACAAGGAAACCTTGGGAGGTGTCTGTCACTTGATGGTGATGATGGTATCAGGGTGTTTGCATATGTCCAAAAAGCATCAAATTGTACAGATTAAATATGTACAGTTTTTATATATCAGTCATTCCTCAATAGAGCTTTAAGTGGAAGGAGAGTATAGTTTCAGACAGGCTAAATGTGAGACACCCTCAGGTATTAACTGGGGTTTCAGGTAAGAGACTTGAGCTCACTGTGTAGCAGAAATTTTTCTAGGATTTTTTTTCCTACGTGTAATTTCATGTAATGCTCATATCAACCATAGGAAATAGAGGGTATGGCTATCCTCCCTAGACAGAGGAGGCAAGTGAGGCATAGAGAGGTTAAGTTATTATTCCATGTTCACACAACTAAGAAGGGGTTGGGGTTTGAACAGGAGCTGTCTGATAACAGCATACCCTGAGTTGCCTCTGTTACCAAACCTATTAATGCATTGGGTTAATTCCTATTTAACTCTTAAATGAAAAGTTATTTTGAAAGTTCATCTGTTTATTTACTGCCAGGGCAGGTTCCCAGTGCCTCAGCCACATGCCACAGAACAACAGTGGTTCACAGACCCCATCCTTTGTGCCTGCAGGGTTGTAGATTCAATAAATATTGCATTGGACTAAGAGGCCTGCTGCCTGCTTGTGCAATCTTGTTCTCTTCTATCCACCTTGGGCACTTCCTATGATTTCTCCTATGCAGACATTTCCCTTAAGGCATAAGGCATCAGATTCAGGAAGGGGGAATAGATCATTTAAAAACTATGTTAGCTATGCTCTGTG